AATTGGGACAAAATACCCCCCCCCCCCCCCCGCTGGGTTTTTCAGAAGTAAGTTTTTCCATAATAAAGATATGTATCAAACACTAATTATAAAATTTTTCTTCCAGTGACCTTGAACTTCCCAAATGACCTTGGGTCAAGGTCTTGACACACCCATAGGTCATGGGCAATCTTTGTGTGAAATGAAAACCTACCAAGTTTATCCATAAGAAAGATATGGACCAGACACGAATTATTAAATTTTTCTACCAGTGACCTTGAACTTCTCCAAATGACCTTGGGTCAAGGTCATGACACACCCTTGGGTCATGGGCAATCTTTCTGTGAAATGAAAACCTACCAAGTTTATCCATAAGAAAGATATAGACCGGACACGAATTATGAAATTTTTCTTCCAGTGACCTTGAACTTCCCCAAATGACCTTGGATCAAGGTCATGACACACCCTTGGGTCATAGGCAATCTTTGTATAAAATGAAAACCTACTAAGTTTATTCTTAAGAAAGATATGGACCGGACATGAATTATTAAATTTTTCTACCAGTACCAAGTTTACCTTGAACTTCTCCAAATGACCTTGGGTCAAGGTCATGACATAATTGGGTCATGGGCAATCTTTGTGTGAAAAGAGAACCTACCAAGTTTATCCATAAGAAAGATATGGACCGGACACGAATTATTAAATTTTTCTTCCAGTGACCTTGAACTTCCCCAAATGACCTTGGGTTAAGGTCATGACACACCCCTGGGTCATGGGCAATCTTTGTATGAACTGAGAACCTACCAAGTTTATCCTTAAGAAAGATATGGACCGGACACGAATTATTAAATTTTTCTACCAGTGACCTTGAACTTCTCCAAATGACCTTGGGTCAAGGTCATGACACACCCTTGGGTCATGGGCAATCTTTATGTGAAATGAAAACCTACCAAGTTTATCCATAAGAAAGATAGAGACCGGACACGAATTATGAAATTTTTCTTCCAGTGACCTTGAACTTCCCCAAATGACCTTGGGTCAAGGTCATGACACACCCTTGGGTCATGGGCAATCTTTGTATGAACTGAGAACCTACCAAGTTTATCCATAAAAGATATGTGTCAAACATGAATTTTGAAATTTTTCTCCCAGTGACCTTGAACTTCCCCAAATGACCTTGGGTCAAGGTCATGACACACCCTTGGGTCATGGGCAATCTTTGTGTGAAATGAGAACCTACCAAGTTTATCCATAAGAAAGATATGGACCGGACACGAATTATGAAATTTTTCTTCCAGTGACCTTGAACTTCCCCAAATGACCTTTGGTCAAGGTCATGACACACCCTTAGGTTATGAGCAATCTTAGTGTGGAGTAGTAGATTCTAATGTCCCTCTGTAAGAAAGATATGGACCGGACACAATTGCACAGACAGACGGACAGACGGACAGGCAGACAGACGGACAGACGGAGAAGGTGATTCCTATATACCCCCCCAAACTTCGTTTGCGGGGGGTATAATAAAATGATTCTAAATTTTGATATTCTTTTTTTATGTAGTACATAGATTTTATTAATCATCATTGCTATTTAAAATAGTCTTATAAGCCAGAAGTTTTATGATGGATTCATTGGATTGTGACATATCATATCATACATTTATGAGACTTGGGAACATTCAACACATTTAACATGATTACCCATTTTCCATTGTTAGAAAATTCTAGAGGTACAAAACTAAGTGTCAAGAAGTTCAAACCAGAACTCAGTTTTCCATCAGTGCTGGAATGAAAATGTTAATGTAGAAATCTATCAGCTTTGGAACATTTGCTGTCCATTCAATGTCTTTTACTATTCTAATCACAATGCAGTCTACTCTTGTCCACACAATTAAGTCGCAGAATGTTTTGTTACATATGTGTAGCTGGCCTTGAATTTGATGATAGTACGGGTGACTGGTTTTCAGGCACAGGGTATCTTGTTTAAGATCTAAAAAAAAATCAAAAAACACTTAAGTTGTGTCATACCAGTACATATCCCCTCCTTTTTCAATATCTTCATACCATATTGAACAGCTGCACTTGTAAATTAATACATGTTTTGAAATCATTTACTCACCAAGATTTTTAATTTCAAAGTACTGGACAATACAGATTTTTAATGTTATTTACCTATGAAAAATCCTTCAAATTTTGTGCCCCATCTGCTACTGTTGAAGACGATGCTGTATATGGACACTTCACCTCTACAATATCAGGAATGGCGTCTTTGGCTTCTGGAGTTTGATAAAATACACTGCATGTTGGTGGTCGAACAACTAAGCCATCAGGTGAAGCTCCCAACACTCCGGATTCATGCAACCATATCCTTTCCGGAAAAAATTATAATACTACTGAATTCAAACAAACCATAATACAATTGATTTTGTAATGCAAACAAAGTCTAAGTAGAGCTTTTATAATCCTTCTACTTCAAAAAGCAAATTTTCTGGAATATGTTGGTAACTGAATATTTATGCCCCGCCATGAATATGGCCGGGGCATATAGTGTTTGTCATGTCCGTCTTCTGTCCTTCTGTCCTTCCGTCCCACTTCGTGTTTAGCTCTGTTCAAAGCTAAGTTTCAAAGAAACTATCCAAGATATTTTCATCAAACTTCATATGCTGATAGATATTGATGAGAGCTATGCAACTGCATCAACATTTTTTGACCTTGGCCTTTCCTTTGACCTTGACCTGACTTTTCTTAAATAGTGTTTAGCTCTGTTTTAAACATACCATTCAAGATGGTGTTATCAAACTTTACATGTTGATACAAACTTGCATAGATGATGCATCTAGAGATGAACATTATCGGACTTGCTTCGGATGCTGGATCTGACCTAAATTTTCCAGATGAGTGACCAAATTAAAGTTTTTGAAGCAGGTCCATTCTTAAGGAACTATAAGCCCTACTTAGACCAAACTTGCTTGGATGATGCATCTAAGGATGGACACTACCAGACTTGCTTCGGATGCTGGATCTGACCTACATTTTCCAGATGAGTGACCAGGTTGAAGTTTTTGGAGCAGATTTATTCCTAAGGAACTATCAGCCCTACTTAAACCAAACTTGCATGGATGATGCATCTAGGGATGGACACTACCAGACTTGCTTCGGATGCTGGATCTGACTCACATTTTCATTCCCAAGTAACTATAAGCCCTACCTAAACCAAACTTGCATGGATGATGCAGCTAGGGATGGACACTACCAGACTTGCTTCGGATGCTGGATCTGACCTATATTTTCATTCCCAAGTAACTATAAACCCTACCTGAACCAAACTTGCATGGATGATGTATCTAGGGATGGACACTACCAGACTTGCTTTGGATGCTGGACCTACATTTTTATTCCCAACTAACTATAAGCCCTGCCTGAACCAAACTGATCAAATTTTATACATGTACAAATTTCATGTTGCTTTACTAATATATCCTCGGCGGGGCATTCATGTCCTATGGACATATTTCTAGTTTTTTTTTTACAATTAGACTTCAGTAATTGATTTCTGTTTTTTTACCAGGATAAGTCCTGTTATTTGTTTTGACACATTGAATGTTAACATGTCAGAGGTTGAATGAATGTTATTTTGTGCTGTATACCTGACTGCTCTACAGCTGCATCAAAGTCCTTTTCATACTTTCTCAAAGCATCATCTTCATGAGTGATACCCCATGCAACAGCCTTGATGGACTCCAGATTGTAAGCCGACATCAGCTGTTTCTTCAGTGACAATGTCAATCTGGAGAAGAAAATATGATTTTTGGTTATTAATCTTATATTTCCTGCATCTTTATGTACAAATATCTAGTCATTACAGTCGAACCTCATTATCTCAAACTCAATGAGACCAAGAAAAATGTTGGAAATATCCGTGGATTCAAGAATAATACATAAAGAGTTATCAAGAATAAAATGTCCCAGTCTTTTATAAATGGTTTGGACTTCAAAATTACTTTGACATATCCATGAAATATGAGATAATGGGTTTGAGATAACAAAGTTTGACTGTAATTTTAAAAGTCTATTTCGCAAAAATTTAATCACACGTCTTACCGCCTTTGCTTAGAACTGAGAACTGCACCAAAGTTGGAAGCTGATATGCTATGTTTCCTTACAATCGACCACATTGGGTTGTTTCATTGCCAATGCAGCTCTTTTAATGGATTCAGGGATAATGCATGCTGTAACCATACCATAGGGGTATCAGAATGAACATACTCTGGTGATGTTAACAGGTCTTCAATGAGAGGTACAGGTGGACCAGGTTCACATGGCTCTGGTTCAAGAATCCAATTCAATGCTGAAAAATTTCATTACTTGTGTCATTCTCAAAAATATCATCCATAATATCCATATCACATATACCAAGTATTTATATAAGAGTCCATACATTTCATTTTAGTGAACACTGTCATGGGTTTTTGTAATGTATGCATTACATATCAAATTTACAACTCACTTGCATATATTTGTTCAGAATTGTTCCTGTATATAATTTTGCACGTGGCATTCTTAGTGTGAAAATGCCATGTAAAAATTGGTGCAAATGTACAATTAATATTTACTTAATTATTAACAAGGTTTCATAATGACAGAGTATTTAAATAATAGAAGAATGATCTGATAATTCGCAAGAATATGAAACAAAATATTTTTTTTAATGCAATTGAATAATTTATTTTTCCTTTCAAAAATGTATGCTCATGTACAAAAATGCTATCATATTTATAATATTGTCTTTCCAATTATTCAAAGGTTGTTATTAATATTTATTACATAGTATGTTCAAAAATTGGGCATTATACATAGCCAACTATATTATACTCCTCATCTTTGTACATTTGTTCACAATTAAAATTAACCATCGGTCAGTAACAAAATAACAGTTTCATAATACTCGTAATATAAAAATCGAATCAAACTTAAATAACAACAATAGTAACACCAAAATCATAACTTCCTTCTTATATTTTACCAATAAACCTTCCAAGGTGCAAAAAACACTGGTCACTTTCATCAGAGGGTCGGTTTAAGGCACTTCAAATATGAAGCAAATTTTTTAACAACTGATTTATTTATATTTAATGATTGATCATTTTTTAAAAAAAAAAAAAACAAGAGGCCCATGGGCCACATCGCTCACCTGAGCACTGTGGCTAGGAAAAAGTAAAAATTGGTTTTTTATTGAAAAGTTTAAATCCAAAAGTAGTCCCTTGACCAATCATGGCTTTGCTTTTCTTGAGAAGGTTATTTTTAAAGAATTTTCCTATATATTTCTATATAAAATTTGATCATCCTTTGTGGCCCCGTCCTACCCCCGAGGACATGATTTGAACAAACTTGAATCTACACTACCTAAGGATGCTTCCATATAAATATGATCAATCAGGGTTTTGCTGTTCTTGAGAAGAAGATTTTTAAAGATTTTTCCTTTATATTTCTATGTAAAACTTTGATCTTCCATTGTGGCCCCGCCCTACCCCGGGGGTTATGATTTGAACAAACTTGAATCGACACTACCTGAGGATGCTTCCATATAAATAGGATCAATTATGGCTTTGTCATTCTTGAGAAGAAGATTTTTAAAGAATTTTCCTATATATATTTTTATGTTAAACTTTGGTCAGCCATTGTGGCTCCGCCCTCCCCCCGGTGGTCATGATTTGAACAAATTTAAATCTACACTACCTGAGGATGTTTCTCCATAAGTTTCATTTTTCCTGGCACAGTGGTTCTTGAGAACAAGATTTTTAAAACATACCATCAAATTTACATTCATTCCCAATTATCTCCCCTTGAATGAGGGTGTGGCCCTTTATTTGAACAAACTTGAATCCCCTTCACTCAAGGATGCTTTGTGGCAAGTTTGGTTGAAATTGGTCCATGGGTTCTAGAGAAGAAGTCGAAAATATGAAAAGTTTACAGACAGACAGATGGACAGACAGACAGACAAACAGCTAGATAGACAAAATGTGATCAGAAAAGAGCTAGAAATGAAACATTCCTCACCACAAAAGCCAGAAGAATATAGGGACCACCACCAGTAACATGTTTCTGGGAAGAACCAAACCAAGCAGAGATAAATATCAATAGTCCTGAATCTTCGATGCAGGACCAAGTACGAGAATTGCTACAAACACTACTCCGGAGACTTACCTATTATCCTATGATGTAACATACTTTGTCCACTGCAGCTGGTTCCCTCATAAGCTGGTAGCGAAGACAGTTCAGGATGTCCTGTCAACTTTGTTCCTCAACTTCCTGTCTTGGACAGAAAAGCAATAAGTGGAAATCTTTAGTGTTGCCTAGTGACTTTGAATTAAAAAGAAAGTTGCAAGATTGTGAAGGGGGGGGGGGGGGGTTCTGATGCTGTGCATTTTAATTAAATGTACGAAATCTGTATTTCACAGTTTAATGCATTCATGTATTTTGTGAATTGTCTTAGGATTCGTGTAATAATTGTTGCTATGTATTATTAAGCACTAAATCTATTCAACTGCATGTGTAAATGGGGAAAATGTGAATATGTAAATGATGTATAATTGCAATGTGTAAAATGTGACATTTTCTTATATGAGGGAGTCAGTGTTCATGTAATTTTTTTTTCATTAATTATTTTATTTATCTTGATAAAATTATTTCAATTAACAATATTGTTTTTCTTACCAGTCTGATGAACTCAACAAAGGTTACAGAGGTGAATGGTAGAAATATGGGTATTACAGGTGTCAAAACTCTTCGTTGAAGACCAGACTGCATGCCGCACTGTAAAATCACCATTTTTGATCTTTAAAAGGGGAGGCTACTCCTGAAATCAAAGAAATTGTCATAAAAATGAGTAACCTGATTTTCTTTAGGTCTCACACAAGGAAATAATTTCACTATATGTTACTATATAGCTTTAATTAAATAAATTAATTAACTAGACTCTCAGCAGATAATTCATGAATGAGAAAAAAGATTAATGCTTAGACAAAATTTGAGATCAGAAAAAATATACCCCTTATGCGGCTTTTAAGAAAGAAAATTGAGACTAAACATACCTATACCCCGAAATACACATGGGCAAACAGCCAACACACCATCGAGGAAGTTACATCGATCATGCGTACCTAAAAAAAAAGAGTTCCCTTTGATTCAGTGGCACAATTCTGCTGATATGATATTCCTAGTGCATGAGTCCAAAATTAAAACTGTAGACCTACGTAAAGTTCCTGAAAATGAAAAAAGAAAAGAAATATTATTGTCTCTATATACATCATACATAGAACTACATTTGTTCATTTTAATTAGCCTACCTTAAAGTAAGGGAAAATTTTATGCTGAAAATGAAAAAAGAAAAGAAATATTATTGTCTCTATATAAAATCATACATAGAACATTTTTATATACATTTGTTCATTTTAATTAGCTATCTCCTTGCATAAGACCTTTAAGCAATTGCTGCAATGTTTGCCGCAAGGTCGCAGCTAGCGGCAATCATCTGCGAACAAGAAAATATCAACAATTTTGTTTAAGACATATCAGTTTGGTAAGGGTATACATCATACGTAATTTTATGCTATTTACCATGTGCACTGATTGCCATAAAACTAAAGAAAAAATACCAGCCTTACAAAGTCACTTAACCATGACCTTTGACATACCTTACTAAGAATACCCTGGACAATTTGGTTTAACTTAAGACTTCTGAATTTTTAAATGCAGGTTTTGATAAATTAACCATTTAATATACTTATGAGCTCATAAAACTGTTCTTTAAAACTGTATGATAAAGAGTGTAAAAACTTTGAAACATGTTTGGAAAGTATTATCACACATGTGATATTATGGGATAAATTATCACCACAGAAAGATCAAAGAAAATCACTGCAGATATGCAACAATAATTCTTATCATTGTTTATTGTATGTCAAGTCTAGAATATGATATATCATTACAAATATTATGATTTTTAGCCGGGCACATTGCTCGTAGAGCAATGCTCAGCTATTGCGACGGTGAGCAACAGAAAATGCTGCTTCTTCACCGCCAAATTGAGTTTACGAGTAAAAGTATGGTACGTGCACCAGCCGCTGTTGAGAAAACAAAATCCATTCAACACCTTAAGAAATAGTAAATTGAATATTTTTATCATAATATTAAATTGTTTAATATTTTTTCCTGGCTCCTTTGACTAATATTTTACAAAGTATAATTCAACGGGTGCGAAAGGTTTTCACCAGGTATCCCTGTCTGCATCATATTCTATAAACAATATAATTAAAATTAGATGTTAGATCTGCTCGCATACTCGCCACACTAACATCTAACAAGTCATCCCATTGAGGGTCACGTAAGAGGTTAAATTCGGAACGCCTCAAGATTTATTCGCTTCAACAATATATGATGATTTTGCCAGCTGCGATTTGATTAATTGATAGAATTTGACCTCTGACGTGACCCTCAACGGGATGTTGTTAGATGTTAGTGTAGCGAGTATGCAAGCGGATCTAACATCTAATTTGAATTAGATTGATTCTATAAATAAAGGTTGTACTATCAGGCTAACACAAATGCAGGGAACATCATTAATGACTTAATGCAAATCTCCCCGCTGAGGACACATCAGTGCAGAGACGTTTGACCTTAATCTTGCTGCATCGGTGTTTATTTACTTCTGTTTGTATATAAAGCCGGATTACCCCGACACAATACGTGATAAATATTTTTCGCTGTTAATTTCTAGCTATATTTTATTTTATTTTTAAAACTATTTAATATTATACATGCCATTGAGATATTTTTGTGTGTATTACATATTCTCTAAACGTCTGAACGTGATTTTAAACTGTCACCACAGTCCTTGTTCATTATCCTGTAAATGAGCCCGGCTCAATACATTTACTATAAAAATAATTGGACAAATTTGTGAATGACAATATTCAATGATGCATAGCAATTAATCTTTTCCAGACATTCCCCTTCTCCTAAAAATTTGTCGTGTTATTTATTTATTTATTGCAAAGTCGTCCCTGGACTAGGGCTACGGTCAATGCAGCTGCAATGGGCCATGCAATTTCGAACCCTGCGTGGTGAGAGTTTGTCCCGAGACACAGTTAGATTATTCTAACTAGCACCAATATAGAATAAATCATACCGATTAATCAACATCACTACAATATGAGGACGTAAAAATAGGATAAAACATCCTTTAGCTGTTTAGTCCAGCAATAAGCCACTAAATTGTTTTTGATGTACCTTCAAACAAATCAAATTAATGTTCTTGATTCCCACTTTTCACGTTATGACTGACTTAGTGCTTCTTGATACCAAAACAATTTTTCTATTACCTATAATTTTGACTTTAGGTTGAATTCGTCAATTTCATGCTTGCGAAGTTGTGTCAATGTGTGCATTACGACCGCTCCGGCTACTTTCGTTATTTCTAACCAATGAAAATTGTCCTTACTTTTCTGTTGCGTCATGCAATTTTATTGCACGCATCACTGAATTGTAGAACACACATCACAAGATTTCGAATATACATCACAAGATTATCGAACATACATCACAAGATTTCGAATATACATCACAAGATTATCAAACATACATCACAAGATTTCGAATATACATCACAAGATTTCGAACATACATCACAAGATTATAGAATATACATCACAAGATTTCGAATATACATCACAAGATATTGAATATACATCACAAGATTTTGAACATACATCACAAGATATTGAATATACATCACAAGATTATAGAATATACATCACAAGATTTCGAATATACATCACAAGATTTCGAACATACATCACAAGATTATAGAATATACATCACAAGATTTCGAATATACATCACAAGATATCGAACATACATCACAAGATTTCGAATATACATCACAAGATTATCAAACATACATCACAAGATTTCGAATATACATCACAAGATTTCGAACATACATCACAAGATTATAGAATATACATCACAAGTTTAAGAATATACATCACAAGATATTGAATATACATCACAAGATTTTGAACATACATCACAAGATTTCGAACGTACATCACAAGATTTTGAATATACATCACAAGATTTTGAATATACATCACAAGATTTAGAACATTCATCACAAGATTTTGAATATACATTACAAGATTTTGAACATACATCACAAGATTTTGAATATACATCACATGATTATCAAATATTGCAAAGATTTTGAATATACATCACAAGATTATCAAATATGCAACGTTTGACAAGGCTGCGAGGTGACAATGTTGGTAAGTTCTGCTTTGTCCTGGGCTGGTGTTTTCTTAAGTATACATCTTCTGCATTCTGAAATCCAGTTTTCTACATATTTGTACTGTCAAGGCCAGAGGAATCTATCCCTAAATAATCCTAATGTCTTCTCTCTTCCAGGATGTCCCATGCTGTTGTGTAGAGACTTAAGTACCTGGCCTACTAAGCTTGATGGTACAACTAGCTGATTGACTTTGTTTTCATCCACCTTAACTTCTCTATACAAGATGGTGTTAATAGGCCTCAGTTTGTCCAAAATGGTGTCAGCAAAGGATCCTGATAAATCACTCTTCCTTGGCTTATATCCATCATAAATACTCTGTATCCAGGGTAATAGTTCTGGGTCTTCATGTTGAGGTTTCTCAATATCAAATCGCATCAATCCATGATGATCCTGTAACTGAGCAATTGTTTGTTCCGAGATCGAAATCGATTCTATGCAAGGTGTTGTTTGTGACTTACTGATGGCACTAATAGAATCAGATGAGATGGTGACCACTTCTGTACTCGTTGACTCCAGTCTTGATAATGCATCTGCTGCTGCGTTCTTCTTCCCTGGTCTGTATTTTATGTCGAAATTGTAGGCGGATAATGCTGCAACCCATCTGTGAACTGTCGCGTCTTATTTGGCATTGGAAAGGATGTAGGTTAATGGGTTGTTGTCTGTAATGGCAGTACATTTGGATCCGTATAAATAATCTTTGAACTTCTCGGTGATGGACCATTTCAAGGCTAGGAACTCAAGCTTATGGGCCGGGTAGATCCGTTCTGCAGGTATAAGTCCTCTGCTCGCATATCCAATGACTCGCTTCATCCCGTGCTGTTCTTGGTAAAGAATGGCACCGAGTCCTCTGGAGCTTGCATCGGTGTGAAGTTCAAATGGCAATGTCATATCTGGATAGCCAAGTATTGGTGGTGATATCAAATGCTGGCGTAGAACATCAAAAGCCTCTTGTTGATCTTTACCCCATTTCCAGTCGACTGTTGAATGTTGTTTTCCTCTTTTCTTTGATGATTGTGGACTAGGTGTTAAGTCTGTGAGAGGTCTGGCAATCTTTGAAAAGTTCTTTATAAATTTACGGTAGTAACCAATGAATCCTAAAAATTTGCGTACTTCTTCGGGTGTTCTTGGTACTGGCCATGACTTCACTTTATCCACTTTGTCAGGGTCTGATGATATTCCCTCTGCTGAAATAATATGTCCGACATATTTAACCTTAGTCTGGAAGAACTGGCATTTAGATGGAGAAAGTTTCAATCCAGAATTCCGTATTCTTTGTTAAACTTTGTCTAGCCTCTCGAGATGTTCCTAAAATGTCCTTGAAAACACGATGATGTCGTCCAAGTAGACCAGGCAAATACTAAGGTTAAGGTCTGAAAATATGTCCTCCATCATTCGTTGATAGGTGGCGGGGGCATTGGCTAATCCAAATGGCATCCGCTCATACTCAAAGAATCCAAGTGGACCCACGGTAAAGGCTGTGCGCTGCTTGTGCTTTTCCTCTATCTCTATTTGATGATAACCACTCTGCATGTCAAGGACGGTGAAGTATTTGTTTCCATGAAGAGAATCTAAGAAGTCATCAATTCTATGAAGAGCATACGCATCCTTTACTCTTCTTTGGTTTAATTGCCTGTAGTCAATGCACATCCTAAGCTGCCCATTCTTCTTTCTCACTAAAACCACATTACTGGCCCATGGCGACTTTGACCTCCTGATAACTCCGCTTGTAAGAAGTTGCTGTATGTGGTTCCTCACTTCATCAATCATGTTGATGGGAATTTTTCTATGGCGTTGTTTAAATGGCACTGTATTGGTAAGTTCTATCTGATGTTTCACTCTGGCTGTAAGTCCAATTTCCTCATCATTCTTGGAAAATATATCATTGTAGGACTTAATGAACTGAACGTTTGTATTTAAAGTTGATATGCTAACAGTCTCAAGTTTTTTAAATCTGTGAGACTATAATCACCCCTACTAATGTCATTGTGATTTAAATTCACGACACGTGGTTTAGGTTGATCTATTCAAAGGTTATAGGGTAGAACCGGTTTTATAAATAAAATTGGCAGTAAACAGGATATTGCTATAGTCTGTTTCTTTTGAAAAACATGTCCTGTAATAAATGTTTCCAGACCTTTCTGGAAGACTTTCATGATTTTTCAACAGAAAAGGGATGGCTAAAGGAGGGGGTGTTAAAATGACAATATATCTTATACTTTTTGGCGAAAATTAGAGCTCCCTAGTGAAAGATTCGCTGGTAAAAATGTGTATTATCATCTACACTGACAAACCCTTGTTTGCCTTACTAGTATATGGCTATTATTATAAATGCGCACAGAGGATATCTTACAACGAGCAACTGACCAATCGTTAAATGAATAGCAACGTTGACGCCAAATACATGTTTTCATTTTACTTCGAACACGTGGTTCAGGTCAATCTATGATCATGTCAATGGACTGCAAAATAAAAATGTTCTTACGAACAAAATACAAAGATAAGAAACTATGAAAGATGTTACGGGCATTTTTAATTTGTTGTTAATTGGAAAAAAAAGGTTTAATAAAATATAGTTTGTGTCTAGTTCAGAAAACCAGTGCTTTTAGGGTAAGGAAAACGAGCAGCATCTCATGCATTTAAATGGACAAAACTTTGTTTACGTTCGTTATCAAGTGTTCGGCCAGGGAATCTACCTGGCCATTGTATTCACCGATAGTACAACAAAGGAATTAATACAGACGCAAACCGCTTTTGAAGTATAACTTTCAGATAACTAGACTTCCACCGTTTATTTAACAAATGAATTGTTTGTCATTATAAGCATGAAAATGATATTTTTTAAAAGCTTTACATTTACAAAAAGATTTTCCATTTCTTTCAAGCGTAAAATCCCTGTAGTATTCGTAGTAACCCATAATGCAATACTCATTCAGCTGATTGGTCAGTTAAATTCATGCTGATGCCTCATTTGCTAATCTGACGCCAAAAAATATAGTCCCGGTTCCCATGCAAAAATATTTGTCCAAAAAGAAATTTTAATTCATGAATGCAGAAAATTGCATTATTTAGAATACTTATTTAAGATTGAATGAATGTAAGAGAGATCGATTGATTGAAGTACATTTCTACAGCTAGACATTAATTATCAGCTGATTCTAGGGTGGTGAAAAATGAAACGCAACATAACTTTTCTGTTTACCATTTCTCCACGTGCAAGTCACTTCCTAGCCACATTTCCGTGAATAATTTACCCCTATCTCGCTGAAATCTCGCGAACTCTCGCCAGAGCCAATGCCAGAGCTACTCTGAACTCATCGGGTTTTATAATTTGCAGAACACCGAAAAATAAAAGGTTCCGAACACATTAGTAGGGGTGATAATGCTTTATGCGAATCGGTTTTTTAGACCTTGTTTCAAATCCCTATTGTCGTTAAAATCAGTGTTTATTTTTAAATGTTATCTAAAAGATGTAAAGCTTGTCATCTAAGTGCATGATTGTACTTTTTTGAAATACATGTATATGTATAGTATTCGCTAACAAAACCAAGTCGGAGAATGAATTTGTTTTTCTCTAATTTGCCTATGAAACCTTGATAAATTTACAATAATAAAAACTTGGTAGCTTTAATTAAAGTGAAAACTTTGGAACTTTGATTTAATTTAGTGAAAATTTTGATTTACTACACTTCTAAAGTAATATCTTTGGTCATTTGATTCACTATTGTAAAATCTTTGGCATTTTGATTTACTATACTAAAATCTTGGAACTCTCATTTTAGTTAAAACTTTGGAACTTTGATTTACTGTAGTAAAATTGTTTGAAACAATGACTGAATAAAGTTAAAACTTTGATTAAGTATGATAAAACTCGCCAGGTGGAACAATGTTTTTTATTTTCATTTTTTACATTCCATGATATTTTAAGCTAAAGATCTTTGGGTAAAGTTTGTCTATTGCGCTGATAATATTCAACTCTGTCTATTATTTTCTATTTAATTTCACACAGAAGTAACGTAAGTCTTATTTATGAAAAAATAAGATTTGCTTCATTTGCAAATATCTGCTTAATCAACTTCAATCAACATGTTTTTTATTTACTAATCTTAATGTTAATATTGTATTTTAATTAACTACTTTGTTAATCTAAAATTAAAATGTGCACATAGAATAACCAAAAATATCTTCTACATCAATCCCTTTAACAGGTCGGAGAGAATACTCGAAATCGGGTATTATCCTTGAAATCGCGTATAATACTATATATTAGGGTATCGTTGAATCCGCGAAATCGGGTATTCCGTGCAACTTTCTATAAAAACTAAAGAATAAAGCAACGACGCATTATGCCAGTTACTGTTACTTGTACATCAGTATCTTGTGGATTTATTTTTATTAAACCTAATTTATACGGTTGTCAAGTAAGCTTAAAATCACACGACAAACACTGCTTGGGTAACAAAGAGGACACAATGGCGTTATTATTTTTCAATATAATTTCTAAAAACAAATAACTACACTTCGTTTGTCTTTATTTCCCATTAAAGTATTCCATATACTTAATTTTCTAATTTGTGCACTGTTCACAAAATGTTAAACTTTAAAGAAATTAAACGACTAACGCCGTGTTATGTAGTAGTTATACAATAGGTTTTAGTTGGTTATGTACAGAAGGACGAAGGTGGGGAAAAAATGTCACGAGGACGCGCAGCGTCCGAGTGACATTTTTGCCCCGCCTTCGTCCTTCTGTACATAACCAATTAAAACCTATTGTTTAAGTCACATGTATCAGAGCCATGCGAGGTATCTCGCACGTGCAAAAAGAAATTTCGGCGCTTCATTTCCCGCTTACAAGTCATTTGATGCGGACGGCCGCTGAAAAAGCAGCGAAATGGAAATGGACGATACGTGCGAGGGTTTATTTCATTTGGAGAGCCTGTGGGACACGACAATTGACGACATTACGCTTTCGGAAGCAACTGAGCAGCTATGTGAAACTACAATTGACGACATTACTCTCTCGCAAGCAACTGAGCAGATAGAAAAGGAGATCGAGTGCGAAAATTTGCTAGAGAACATCACCTTATCTCAGGCGATCAACTTGTACAACCCTGGCCATGATGACATGGAATTGGACTACACGGTTTATTTTGATGTGCTCACAAAAAAGGAGGGATGATCTAAGATGTCGGTTGGTCGTTATGAACATTTTGTAAATGACAGAGATTTAAAAGAGTTGCATAATTCGACAGAAAGCAAGAACACCCGCAAGAACACAAATTGGTCTGTAACTACGTTTAACGACTGGCGTTCCGCTCGGATGTTGACAACAGGCGACCAGATTTCGGATATTCTGTCGTTCTCTGCAGAAGAACTTAATTTTTGGTTGTCAAGATTCGTTGTTGAAACGCGACGCAAAGATGGCAAAGCGTACCCTCCCAAAACACTTTACATGCTTTGCACTGGACTTTTAAGACATTTACGAGAAAACGGTGTGCATTTGAATTTTCTTGATGAAAAGAATTCCCAATTTTACGAATTCCGGAAGACTCTTAGCGCAGGAATGGCAGAACTTACCGCACAAGGAGTGGGGACGTCTACAAAGCAGGCCGAGCCGATTTCTGAAGAGGCAGAAAACGTTCTTTGGGAAAAGGGTCTCCTCGGCAACAATACGGGAGAATCTATGTTAAATACTGTCTTTTTCTACAATTGCAAACTGTTCGGACTGAGGGCTGTTGACGAGCACAAAACATTATCTGTTGACCAGTTTGAGTTAGGTCAAGACCAGAAGGGCAAGTTTATAAATTTCACAGGAAGGGCAAATAAGACATACAAAGGTAAGTTGATTTACTTATTAAAAAACACTACAAATTGGTTTTTACGTTTGTAAGTGCGTGGAGCGCAAATTCATGAAATTGCTGAAAAATGGTTAATCCCTGTATCGATCTGTTAATTTGTATTTTGACCTTATATAGAATTTCATTCAATAATCAAAAACAACTGACAAATACATTTTTGTGGGAAAAACACTATTGATAAATGTAAAACGTGTAATTCTTTTTTTAGGAAAGTTATAATTTGAATGTACAGTCCTTGTTTGTATTTTTTTAAGGTGGATTGTATCAGAGACGTGAGCGCGAAATCGATAAGACATCACTTCCAGGGCGAAAAAGTCTACAATATCTATCAGGAACACTTCAGTCTGGTGGTGATTAATTCAAAAAGTCCGTTTCAGTGTACAACCCATTGGAATCAACAAATTATCTACAATTATGAAAAATATGTGTGACAAAGCCGGAATTCCCGGATTCTTTTCTAATCATTCCGGTAAGCGCACTTGCGCAACCGCTCTCTACCAAGCCGGGGTACCGAAACCGGAAATCATGGAACGTACAGGCCACATATCTATTGAGAGTGTCCGCAAATACAAGCGTCCGAGTGAGATGCTACGTGATATTTCCAATGCGTTGGAACCAGATGAACCGGTCAGCAAAACGGCAAAATCCTTGGACAAAATTGAAAATCCAAAGCATGGAGATTGCGAGTGTAAAAACACATTTAACAACTGTCAAGTATTTTTCAACCGTTGAAAAGGATGTTGTTTTAAAAGTTGAGATGAAGTATTAATTTTTCATTTTATTTCGTGGAGTGGAATAAAAGTGTATGTGAATTTTGTTAATTAATGTTCAGGAAAATGTACCTTTTCAATGATTATTAAAATGGGAAATTTATGCAAATGATTTACGTCATTTTTTTGTAGCAGTTTTACCACGCCCATTGGGTATCAGTGGTTATGTATAGATACCCACAGTTAAGATCAAAAGAAAATTACCGCTGCTAGGTACATGTATTTTTACTGTAAAATGTATGGCGTCCCTTTCACGTGAAATATGAATTATTCCTAACAATTAGAGAGTACAGTATAAGCGAGACATTATTGTATATCTCTGCCATAATAGAATACCAACGTTATTATAAGGAAGAAAATAAAATAAGATTAAATAAATACCCTCGGGAAAACAGGTTGAAAATAGGTTATTGAAGGTGAGTAATATTTTTTTATGTCAATTTAGCATGGACATTTTTATTCAAAGACACCGTAAATTTTTTGGTTGCATTTTAATCGATACAAGATATGCTATTTTACTTTTGTTTTATGCATTTGTGTGAAAATTGAGAGCGAGAAGTCATACGTACAGGATTTTCTTTGTTTTTTTGTGGGGGGGGGGTATAAATAAAAGTCAAATGTGTACATCTTTTCATGAGCTTATAATACATTGAATTTCTCAATTAATATAAATCGAGGTACAGTCATATTGAAATATGAATTACATAGTCAAGTTTTCACATTTCTGATAGTTTTTACGTTAATGAACATGTTAATTAACAAACTGAAATAATGGAGTGTTCAATTGCCTTGGAAACTCTTTTCTTACTTTTTGGGAATATAATTCCTCATTGGACATTTAAAAAAATTCAGAAAAATTGTAGCCACTTCATTTCTTTATTATACTTTTTGAAAGACAGGGTAAATTTTATCTCTTTAACTTCTATATTTTTTTTTATATCGCTATCTTTTACTTCATTATAATATGCTAATACAACGCACTATCTGATTGATTCTAGAACATATGTCACAGTTTTCTTTTAGTTATTTTGTCTATGATACTTATTACTCATGGCAACAACTTTTCCTAATACTCATCTATGATGAAAAAATGTGTTATAAAAATAAACATGAATTCTAGTTACATTGTACTTGTAGTCTCATATTGTGTTAGAAAAGAATTGCTTTTTGTTTACCTATATGATTTTTATTTGATGAATAAATCTTCCCTACAATTAAAAATATATAAACGAGTTTAACCGATCATGACATTCAAAGAGAGGTCTCTTGGTCACATGTAGAACACAGTCGAGGTTGTTTTGTCAGAGGTGGTCAAGAAGCCTTTAGCCCCCCCCCCCCCGTTTTTTTTTAAGTCGTCAAGAAATGGTAAAATATTGATGACTTAGCGAAATTAAACGATCAACAGCTATTTTCTCTCATAAGCTGTATTCCTGAAACTATCACTGTCTCTGCTAAAATGTTGAAGACATATTCGGCAAATATGTATATATGATAAAAAAAAAAAGATTTCAAAAGAGAGAGAGAGAGAGAGAGAGAGAGAGAGAAAGAGTTTTTTTTGCCCAAATTTTAGACATTTTTATCTTTACATTATTTATACATTCATAAATAAATTTGATTGAATGTGACAGTAATTAATGATGCATAACTAGACACGATAGACAATCCCTTGTTTATACATGGCATCATAGTTTGTGTGTGAAATGTGTTTCCGTATAATTTGATTTATTTACAAATTGTTCATGTTTGTCGTGTTGATGTGGAATAATTATAAATTTCCGAATTCTGATATACTTTACAATTCTGTTGTGCTGGGAATGAATATTAGAAAGATGCATGTGCTTTCAACATTATGAAAAATATAAAGCAAATCGAACGCTTTTTTGTGTGCAGATTATGAGATGTACTGAGCTCCACGGGTATTTGTTGTCCTGAGCGCATTAATCTCAAGACGCCCAAATTCACTGCTGGTAAAGTGCGAATCGAGAAAATCTTGGCTTCGGACACTCGCTACTATTGGCACCTGTGAATTGTCTAGTTAGCAATATATTTTTATTTTTATGAAAAATACTTCAACCCCCCCTTTGAACAATTTCTGGATCCGCGCCTGAGATTCATCGTGAAAGTTACTTATAAATTCTTAGATTTACTAATATCATCTAGTAAATCTACCCAATACCTAGTAAAACTACTTTCGAGGTAGTGATTGTATGGACAGTAAGTTTACTAGTCTTCCCAGTGACTTTCACTAGTTATTTTTTCAGTGAAGGTATATACAAATATATACATATACAAATGTTGTGATCAAGCAATCAATTTTTTAAAGCAATGTGTGAATACATAATGAAAATAATTTTCTTGCTGTATCATCTCAGGTCCGCAGAATGCAAGATCCTTTTTTTCTGAAAATAGTCTTTTGCTTTTGTTTTTATTCATGTTCATGTTTTTCATGTAGATATGCTCAACTGCACAAAAGCTAAAAAAAAACATAGTTCAAAGACCCCTAGCAACTACTCTCGTAGTTGACTTGTTCAGTTGAATTGGTTTTTCTGTTGTCATCATAAAAATGCGAAATTCTGTGGTCTCAATTTCATATCAAGGGCTATTTACAACAGTTGCATGTGGAAATAATAAGTGGAAATTGTATAGAAATTTTCTTGTATTTGGAACTTCCAATTAGAAATATTTTGAGAATATGACAGTTTGAAACCGTGAAACAGTGCACATTTTTGTGCACAATAAACATTATACTTTTATTCCAGTTGTGGCACTGCAGCTCTCCCGTCTGTCAATATATATTTTTGGAGAGCTACAGTTCTGGGAAAAATGGAATATTTGAGGAAATGTCTCCAACACAACAAGAATTATACTGTTCTTCCTAGCTGCAGAACTGTATCTAGCGTTATGGTTTTATTGATCTTTATAGTCAAGTATTTAAACATAAAACCATAAAACTACTTTTCTGCAGAGACTGGACGGTTTATTTTTGTTGGGTTATCAATCACCTGCGACCCTTTACAATTCTGTTGTGCTGGGAATGAATATTAGAAAGATGCATGTGCTTTCAACATTATGAAAAATATAAAGCAAATCGAAAGCTTTTTTGTGTGCAGATTATGAGATGTACTGAGCTCCACGGGTATTTGTTGTCCTGAGCGCATTAATCTCAAGACGCCCAAATTCACTGCTGGTAAAGTGCGAATCGAGAAAATCTTGGCTTCGGACACTCGCTACTATTGGCACCTGTGAATTGTCTAGTCTAAAACCATAAAACTACTTTTCTGCAGAGACTGGACGGTTTATTTTTGTTGGGTTATCAATCACCTGCGACCCTCATTTTTCCTCCAATAATATAAAAAAAGTCACTGGTCAGCTTGTTTAATAAATACTAGTATACAGGTCTATTTATGCCATTCAAATACAATAATATATTTTGTTGATATATGAAAATATTTCATACAAGTTAATTATCGGACATACTTAATTCCTGCCGATGCCATAAAAACTATCCAGGGAGTGAAAAACAAAGTTAAAATATTTACTTGTATAAACGCCTATTTCCTTCAAATACATGTCTCTCATTTAAGAGAGGTCAATATATTTTTTTTCCGGGGGGGGGGGGTCCGAGTTTTTTTTTTAACGTTTCTTCTACATTTAAAGTTTTAAATCTTAAGTTCTTGGTAGACTAACATGATTAAATTTGAACTATGGGATAGAGCTTTAATGAACATATAGCATATTTTAGTGAAAAAGCTTATTATTAAAGAATGATATCCAATATATACTATCCAGAGTGAATTCTGCATTTTTTTTATCCTTTAAATTTAATCATATAATAGAACAATTTATGTTGGGGGGGGGGGGGAGGAATACACATTAAATATTTGATACAAGCTTTATTTATGAAACAAGTAGTCAAGGACTGGAGGTATATGTTTTTGGGACGTATTCAAGGACGCTGCACTCTCTAATGTGTCAGTAATGAAGATATTAGGTGTTTTACTGGAAAGCAATGAAACAGCAGTAAAACGTCGCGCCTTATGAAACAGAACAGAAGCCAAACGTAGCAATTACAGATGCCGAAAGTCGCACATACAGCAACCAAACTCGCGCTGTTTATCAGAAATCTCATTATTGCATAAAAAATTTTAAATTTGTGAAACATTAAGAACAAGAGAAATCATAAATGATTCATTCAATATATATTCATATCACTTTTAACACAAATAATGCAGTGTAAATCGTGTTTAACATGTGAAAAGCAAATATGAATAGATCCAGTGAAATACATTGAACGGATGTAATCTAAAGCAGTTTCTGGGTTGCTCCTTACATGTATTCAACTAATAAACAATTCTACTGCATAAAACCATACTGAACATTAATAATTACGTCTTAATCAAATATTATATCATTTCTGATCGTTTAGTTGATATAAACTGCCTCATTGACGTAAACCAATAGTAGCTGGTGTCCGAAGCCAAGATTTTCTCGATTCGCACATTATCAGCAGTGAAATTCTTACTTGGCTAGTGATACCTTTAAAAACACTGTATCTAGATGAAAGTTAACTCGGCAACATGCACTGTAG